TTGGAAAGCCAAATTTTATGGTATGCAACTTCTACTGACATTTTTCTTTCTTTTTTTTTCCCCCCAGGGATGAATTGTAAAAGCAACATCAGCTTGACCAGTCTATACTATTACAGTGGATTGCTCATCTCAGTCCTTAAAGCTTTTTGAAAACCAACAGCATCACAGCTTGTATTGGACTTTGTTACACTATTATTTTCAGCATGAAATGTGTGGTTTTGTAGGTTTTTCTAATTCTTCAAAGAGGCACAGAACCAAATTAGTAGGACACAAAGTCTAACTTTGTGAGTTATTACTTTAACATGCCCACATTTTACTTTAATATATTAAAAAAGAAGGGGTTCTGCACAATGGAAAACTTAAGTTTGTGAATTGATTTTGAGGAGTGGTTTTTCTTGTCTTGGACATTTAATTCTGTTCCAGTATTAATTTATCAGATTTCTTTTGTACATCAGATAACACCACCATCCACAAGTTAAGGTTCTTGATATTTGGATGTCTGTTAGATGCTACTAAGAAAATAGAGATGAGCTTTCTTTTTAAAGCTTTCGATGTGGTGTCATAGAATAGCATGTTATAGATACAATCAGCTGCTTTGTTACCTTAAAACTAGGCTTTGTAAATATTCAAACTCAAAAGATGGCAGGTGATGTCCTTGAAACACTCAACTGTTCAGATTGGACATAACTGACAGTTTTTTCTTTCTAAAAATGACAGGAGACTTGTAGCTCATATTGTTTTTTCTGTTTCTAGCTGGCTGCCGATGATGTATGTGAATCTAACATTGCTGTGTAGGCTGTGTGCTAGTTTCTGCACAGTTTATGCAGCGCTGCTTTGCCAAATAAAGTAAAAGCGAAAGAGGTATTGGTGGTGTTTGAATCTAGGAGGAAGAGCAGCACATCCACCATATCCAGAATGCTGACTCAGATCACAGAGGAAATGTTATTTCTCTAATGCTCCATTTTGTGAAATTGGAGTAGGTAAATGGCATTAGTGCGTCGACAAATCGTCAAATGTGACATTTCTTCAGGGCTGAGACTACTCGCCATTTATCTCTGCTACTTATCCCAGGGCTTGTCCTTGGTATCTGTACAATAAATGCCAAACAGGTGGGAGGGTTAGTGAACTGACTTACTGTCCAGGAAGAACATAGCTAAGAACAAACATCCTGAAACCCCTCTCGCCTGTAAATGGATCTGTTAATATAATGACTGTAAGAAGGTAATGACACTTAGGGATCTTGTTTCAGTGTTGTGGTTTTATACATTTCATAAGAAGACTCTAGTTTTTCTAAAGGTTCTAGAGGTTGAGGAAATAGTCCAAGCTCTCCCTGAGCCGAATGAGCACTCTCAGCAACGCTCTTCTCTCATGTGCATAATTCTGACAAAGAGATGCTCACTTAGCATGTGAGAAACCCCTCCCACTCTTAAAAAGTCTTAACTGTTATTTTGTATTAAAAAGTTGTTTTTGAGAAGATTCCTAAGTTTAGAAATAACTTTATGAAAAGATCTTTAAGCTGAATAGTAAGTTGATATCTTTCCAAAGTGCAGTGCTATGTTGTATAAGATTTTAAAAACTGGTATGATTTGAGAATTAAAATAAGTAGGAATGAAAACATTCTTAGACCTAAATAAAGCAAATGTAGGAGAAGGCTCAGTTTTAACCACTCCATCCATTCCTAAAAACTCCTAGCTTTAGGGTGCTTAACCTTATGTTCATCGTGGTGGTTTCATGTTTGGCCAACAGTGTAGCTATAATTTAAATTCCCTCTATCTATACTATAATTCAGTAGGGCTAAAGAGCTGGGGAAATGGAGCCAGGAACAAAGAACTTCCTGACAGGTGTTTGATGAAAAGGCCAGCCAAGCTGGGCACAGTGGCTCAGGCCTGTAATCCTAGCTACTCAGGAGGCAGAGATCAGGAGGATCACAGTTCAAAGCCAGCTCCAGACAAATAGTTCTCCAGACCCTATCTCAAAAATATCCATCACAAAACAAAAAGGGGGGGTGGGGAGTGGCTCAAGTAGTAGAAGCATCTGCCTAGAAAGCATCAGGCCCTGAGTTCAAACCCCAGTGCCACAAAAAAAGAAAAAGCCAGCTACATGAGGACAGTTTTCACCAGCAAACTAAGCCATTTCCTCTTTGTATTCAGCTTGAGCATTCTTTGTTAGAAATTCTCATTTGATTTCCATACAAAAAGATGTAGAAAACCTGGAGTCAGAAAACAAATGATTAGAGTTGCTCTGCTAGGAAGAAAGTAGTATAATCTCTAAAGAAATAAAACCAAACTCTGAAATTGTTTGGGGATGATATAAATTAACAGAAGCCTAGGCTTAGATGCTTATATTACGGAGGATACTGAGGGAACATCTAAAGGTAAGGGATGCTTGTGTTCCAGGGCATATACTGCTGTGTAGAATGTTCACACAGGAGAAACTCAGTTAAAAGTCAGACAGGGGCTGCCGTGAACAGCCAAACTGAGGAGGCCCACTTGGAATGTCACCCCTGTGTTTGGGTTGAAGGAAGACACAGTACAGAGCAGCCATCAGTGACTAAAAGGAGGTGTTGAGAAGTGCAATGGGGAATCGTGGTGCCGAATCATGTTTTGAAAAAGTCACTACGAGAAAGATGAAAAAAAATTTGCCTGTGGAAGAGACCGTATTTGGTTCTCGGGTGACATGGAACGTTAAAATGCTGTGGAAGGCTGGAAGAGTAGCTGATGTCAACTCGTTCAGGATGAAAGTTTTCAGAAAGATGGTTTTGGTGGGTCTTTCCTTAGGAACAGGTGTGAAACACAGAACATGTTTCACATGTGGACACCTTTCCCTTTTAGTAACGTTTTTGAGTTGTCTTAGATGTGGAACTTCTTCAATCAGATGATCCCAGGTAAGATGACTCTTTAAAAGTCCTACTCAACTCCAGGAGGTGATACATACCTGCAACCCCAGCATTTAAGAGGCTGGAAAGTCTCATTTGGTCCATCTGATAATTTAAATACTTTGTAGATCTTGATCCTTTTCCCTTCCAGTACACTTAATTTTAATTTTTTTTATGGTATTGGGGATTGAACCCAGGGTTTCATGCTTTCTAGGCAAGTGATCTACCACTTGAGCTATGCCCCAGCCCTTTTGTTTTCATTTTGTTTTGATGTAGGATCTCACTAACTTTGCTGGTGCTGGTCTTGAACTCACAACTAGCCTGAGATTACAAGCATGCATCACCATGCCCAGCTCCAGTATACTTTACGTAGCCTTGGGCAAGTCACTTCTCCAATCTTCAGTTTCCCCCTTTGTAAAACAGGATTGGTATAATTAAGCCAACATAATACATTAAAAGATTTTTTAAAAGGCATAAGAATAAAATACAATTTATTAAAGGACTTGTTTACATATATATGGACATCTTAAGTATTTCAACACCATAACAATACTAAATTGTATTAATTTAATATATAAAATATGTGCTGAAAGATGCATGCCTTATCAGATTTTATTTTATTGGATATGGCTATAGGTGACATCCTTCTGTATATTAAAAAAAAAAAAAGCATCACAGAATACAAACATCTTAAATTCATTCACTCAGTCCACTTCTCTTAAACTGCCAGTGAGAAATTTAAATCATTGCTCAATTCTAAGTATTCAACAAAAGCCTCGAGTTTCTCAGGAAACAAAAAATGATACTCGATTTGTTTTTCTAGAACTAACTTTCCATTTGTTAATGTATCTTTTTTTTTTGGAAGTAGGATTTATTAGAGAAAGCTACAGCTAGAGTAATGCAGCAGAGCCCAGAAACTGGTAGCTCTGTTAATGTATCTTGATAGGTTACATGACCCCATCAAAATTAAGCCCCTTGCTAAAGAAACCACCTACTTTAGTCTAAAAGCAAACCGTACTAGACTCTTGAGGGTTTTTAAAGTGCCTTAAAACATTTGCCATTTATGGGGAAAAAAGAAAAAACAACAAAACAGGAACATGATGAAGTGTAGATGAGCACCACACTGCACTCCTGCCAGTAGAATAAGCTGCCTTTAAATGCATACAAACTTAAAAGGAGACGCTATGCCAGTTTTATTTAAGGGTGAACTTGTGCAAAACTGCTTTATGTTCCAGAAATGCAGAAGTCTGACATTGGCTGATTGTACATTACATTTTAAAACAATGAGGGCAAGCTGAGGATGTAGCTCATTGGTAGAGCACTTGCCTAGCACGTGTAAGGCCCTGGTTCTCTCCAGCAGCACCACACAACAAAACCCAAATCATTCCACTAGGTCACATGACCTGCCAATCCTTAGGTGACATTTTTACAAAAGCTGTACCCAGAAATCCACTCAGTGTTCTGCTCTAGAATCTGCATTTTTCTCTTTCATTAACAAAGACTCATCTTGAGAACCACTGACTACATGCACAAGTTGTGCTCTGTGCCAGGGAGCAGTGTTGAGCAGACAGAACAAAGTAGTAATTGTTTTCCTTGCATACTTACCCTGCACCTACATTTCTGCTAAAAATTCTGTCCTGCCAGGTTCTCTGCTTCCACTTTGGTTTCCTATCCCACTCCATAGCCATCTTAGAGCTCTTCCTAATCCAAAATCAGGTTAGGAAGGGAAGTTTCCTGCAAAGATCAGTGTAAGGTGGCAGCCACCAGCCAGCATGAGAAGCAGTGGGAAGCACTCACATTCTTCTCCTGAGGGTTCTCTGACCTGTCCATAAGGTTATAACATACATACCTGCCACAGGTAACTTATTCAAAGCACACTCACTCGAGATCCACAGGGGAAAGGAAAAGGAGAGCACTGGAACTTAAAACAGGAGAAGATGGCCACAGAACATGGGGCAGCTGCATCTAATGCTGCCAGGGTTGTCAGGGTTACCAGGGCCCATGAAGCACTGTCTCCCGAGGTGGTTCCTTGAGATACTGACTTCGGCTTCGGTAAACTACAAATTTCTGCTTCCACAGACAGGTTAGTAAATCAGAATAGTAAAAGTTGTGTGTATGTGTGTGGTTTTTTTTTTTTTTTTTTTTTTTTTGGTGCTCCTGGAGTTTGAGCTCAAGACCTCACGTTTACTAGGTGGGCACTCTGCCACTTGAGCCACGTAAAAGTCTTTTAATTACATGAATTTCTAAATTTCAAACATTTTACCTGCTTCCTAAAGAAAATCTACAATGAATAAAGGTTTGTGATTTACAGAATCTTCTAGCCTAATTAAAAACAGATTGTAAATAAGAACCTAACATAATAAATTGTAAGTGAAACGGCTCTCGCCTACAGCTGAATTATATTCATTACAGATACATCCCATTTATAAGGTAGTCAGATTCCTCAGATGTAATGGGGCGAGCTTTCTTAAGTTTTTGTTTCACCAGTCGTAGTCGGCAAGCAACCATGAGAAGCAGCAAAGCAGTGATGGCCAAACCCAATGCCAGGGGTAGCACTGCGCCTGTGACACATTCAAAACAAATAGGGTAGGTCAGTCAGTGACTAGCAGCAATGACAGCTCTGCTTCCTACATGATGAGCACTTTGCATGCACTATTTTAGTTAATCAAATCGGTTCCAGGGTTACCATCATTTTACAGATTAAGGTGCAGAGAGATTAAGTAACGTGCCTAAGAGTGCCTGGCTGTATACCTGTAAGTTTAGTCTCAAACCCAGATCTCCTGAAAACCAAATCTGTACCAACTTCCTACAAAATGTGCATGGTGCTAGTGGGGACAAACATTGCAGTAAGATCACCCTCACATCCAACTGTAATAAACACTGGACCACAGGAAATTTTTTTCATTGTAGTCATAGATTGTGTTTATGGATTCATACATGGTCGTTTTCCAGTATGGACTAACTCCTGATTTCTGGTTCTGGTTAAGGCTTAAGATACTTAGTTCCTTTCCTAATTCCAGGACTCTTCCAGGTGTCCAGCCAGTAGAAACTTTCTTGGAAACTAACCTCAAAATATACTGGCGTGGGCTGGGACACTGGCTTACGTAGGAGAATACCTGCCTAACAAGTTTAAGGCCCTGAGTTTCAAACCCCAGCACCATCAAGAATAATTAATTTATTATGAAGTTATACTAATAAAAATTAATTAGAAATATGCTGGTGTGACTTTGGCCATGGGTAGGTAGTTCTTCCTGTGGGGCTGATCCAAGACACCAGACCAGAAGCAACTTTTAGAGTCTGAAGGGGGCATGGATGCCAGATCCGTCTTCCAACCAAGCTCAGCAGGCTCTATTCTTAGTCTATCTACTCTTAGTCGACCAGATTTGGGATGAGATACTGGAACTATTTCTAGCTATACTGACTTGCAGCTGGTGAAAATGGAGGAGCAAATGTCTCCATTGTGTAAGCTGATTGTATAACATTTTCTTTCATTCATTTATTTATTCATTCTGCATTAATTAATAGCTTTCCATGTACCAGACACTGAGGTTAAATCCTAGTAATCAAAGACACTAAGTAATTTTTGTCAATTAAAAAAGAAATAAAAATACCCCCCCAACAGATAAGCTAATGCTAAGAGTACCAGTATTAGAACTCGTCATTGAATTCTCACCACTACCACAGGAGTGGATATATATTATTGTACCCATTTGACAAACTGAGGGAACTAAGGCAACAAGAATTCTAAGTTACAGAGATAGGATACCACCAGAAGGACGGCTCCAGAGCCTGTGGTTTTAGCCAGTATGGTACCTACTCCAAAAGTGAAAGGCATTTCTGAAAGACTTTAAGTCTGGATAAATAGACATTTAAATGAAAAGCTACAGTGAAGATTAAAGTTACCATGACAGAACCGCACAAGCAGTACAGATGTGAAGGGAGTGGTCCATGTGTCTGGTCAGTAGGGTTTTCGCTGCAGTGATTTCGATGTTATGTTGGGGTTCATTTGGGGTGGATCAGTTTACTCTTTTACATTTTCAGATTAAGATGCTTATAAATAGTTCAGGTGAAATGTTCTCTTAGCATCTTGCATTATCTGGGTCAATTTGTGTGGTGGCCTCTAGCATAAAGGTGGTAGCTGTGGCCATGAAAGTGTGTGAAGCTGCCAGAGACAAAGAAAGAAAGGAGGGCCAGGAGCATGGTCTTGGGAAAGGCCAACATCCTGAGGGCACACAAAAGAAGACGCCCCCAAAGAAGCAGAAGACAGATTAGAGAAGTAGTGCGGCTTGGGAGTGGAGGGGAAGCACAGTCCACAAAGAAAGGCTCAGTTGAATAAAATGCTACAGAGAGGTGAAGGCACGAGGCCTAGGGAATCCACTGGATTTAGGACAATGAAGACTGAGGGCCACAGTTTTATACTGAGAGAGATCTGAATATGTTTGTAGCTGTTGAGTGAATGAGTCAGTGGGGAAACTGAGAAGCACTGGAAACTTATTAGATGATAGGGAAACTGAGAAACAAGAGGACACATCAAGATCCAGGAGTGACGGCCTTAGAGAGACGGGACACCTCTTTATCCAGTGCTGGAGGAAAGGGGAGGGTGGTGCAAACAGAATAGTTGGTGGGTAGCCAAACAAGTTCCCTCCACACAGCCTTGATTTTCTGGCCTAAAACAGCCCAGGTAGAGCTGGCCTCTTGACGTGAGGATCTGGAACTGATTTCACACTGAGGACTTTTCAACCTCCGGGGCAGCTTCAGAAACCCAGGTAAACCTGAAGATTCTCAAGGACAGGGGATGTGAAAGTCGCTTTAGTTACTGGGTATCACATTTTGGGGTGAGACCAGTGCTCCCCTAGAGTACTGCAAAAGAAAAATCTGAGCTAAATCCCCAGCATGGAATCTGACTTCAGATCTGTCTCACATACTCAGCCCTCAAGAGGGTCCAGAACTATTGCCTCCCTTCCATGCCTAGGTTTGGGCTTTTATAGCCACTACTGCCTCCTCATGGCCACCCTGATGGAAGAAGTTTTGAAAGGGCTGAGTGGCTTGAAGGTGTTAGTTTTCCTCTGTCTTACTGAATGGGCTACATGAGCTGGATGTATAACAAAGGAACAAGACCAGAAAAGGAGACTTTGGTCTATTCCCACAGAAACCGCAGGATCCCCAAACCATTTCTTACAAACTGGAATACAACACCCAGCTCCAGTTATGCCTGGTGGGGGAAGGAAAATGACGAAGAGGATTCCAGTCCTCAAAATGTGTCTGACTTGCTTAAAGATGAGGACCAGTGTTTGGGCTAAAGGGGAAGCAAGCTGCAGGCAAATATCCAAACCCCACAGGGGCTCAGACTTAGCTATGGTAACAAAACACAGACAAAGAAAGAAAGTGTTCTATTTGCCAAATCAGATACGAGGTTGCTGAACTGTCAAACCTGACCCCTGTTTGGCACCTCTGTGACAAAGAAAATGAAATCTCCCATAAAGCAGTATTTACCAGACATCAGAACTTATTGGTACTTTTAAGTACTTAGTTGGCATAGTTTCTTCAATACTTTTAGTTTAGAATTTGAGATTAAAAACTTTCTAACCCCTTCTAAAAAACATTATGATATAATTCTCAGGAAGCTAAGGTGAAGAATTATGTATTCTGTTCATATGAATGGAGGTGACATCAAAATATCTAACAACTAGAATGGACACCAGCCAATTACAACTGGGTCTCTGGATACATCTGGTGTGAGGGCAAGAGGGAGGCTGGTATTAACAGGCCTGTGCCATTATGCCCAACGCTGCTTTTTTTAAATTAGCATAGATTAGTTGTACAGTAGGGATTCATTGTGACATTTACAAACGTGATTACCAGGTATCTTAATTAGATTCACCCACTCCATCACTTTCCCTACTGCTTTTGTTCTTAATGAAACTGGTACCATCTGTGCGCTCACAGAGAATTTCCAGTGCCATTTTTAAGAACTAACCTAACTAGTGTCATGTTAACCAGAAAATCCATGGGGTGAATTCCTTTCTGAGACAAACTATTTTTTTTATTAACCAAGTTAACTTACCTAGTTTTCAAAAAGCATCTGTGTTTCTATAAGTACTGTGTAATTTTCCATGCCAGACTTTTGGCTTTTTTCAAGCACTGCAATTTGGTATGGACAGTTGGAAACAATAATGTATTAGATTTAAGCGTTTCAGGACTGAACTCTCTTTCCTATTATTAATTTTTCCCTGTGCTATCATAAGTGCTTGCCAGCATTCAGTACTGTGCTGGTGCAGATGTAGGTTTACACACTCATTTTTAGCTTATTTCTTGTACCTTGCAACATGCTCTACAGTCAGTTCTTAGGAGTTTATTTTACAAACATGTACCTGTAAGGTTTATTAGCAATAATAAAGAAAATTCAGCATGTTTATGCCATAATTTTGTAGATGAAAAGAATCTGCTCAGCTCCATATTTCTATGAAAGACTTGCAATATTGGCAGTTTCAAGGAATACCTAAAAAGGAAACGTAAAACAAAAAAACAGAGGGAGGCTGGATTCTGTCTGGATGGTGCTAGGGGACAGAGAACCATTTATTCACATACCGCGAGACAGGCTATGTCCACCAGACCAGAGACTGGAATGAGGGAACCCAGGTGCTTGGCATCTGGATTGCCTCAGACCTTGATTATTTAATAATTATACTTTATATTGTCCAGATATTACAAAGGATTCTCAAGACAGCTTTCTCAGTGTTTAGATATATACTTTAAGAATTCTTTTTGTTCTCCTAAATCTCTTTCTACTGATTAGGACTACAGCTTGCTTTTCTGCAGGAATATGTCCATTGATTTCTTTCTTGTTAAAAACAACCAAAAGTATGGAATTATGGTATTCTTCTTCTACTTAGTAAATTTTTCCTCTGCTTCCTGTACCTCTTCCCCTTTCTACTGTCTTCTGTCTTTGTTCCTGGAATGCTGGGAGAGGGCACTAGATCTCTTCATCACTCTTTTTGCATCATAAATAACAGTAAGAGCCCTCATTATATACTTGGCTCACTACATGAACCAAGCAGTGCACTGAATGCCCTGGTGTAAGCATCCCATTAATTCTCCTAACAATCCCATAAAACAAAATTTTTACTATCTTCATCTCACCAACTGGGATCCAGAGAGATATGAACTTGGCCAAGGTCATGGAGTTTAGATGTGGAGCCAGGATTTGAACTCTAGAGCCCATGTTCTTAACCTCTCTGCCACAAATGTGACTGTTTCCACAGAATATCACACCTGGCAGGGTGTGTGAAAGAGCTGAGGAGTAAAGATGGTGTACTCCTACCAAGAATACCAAGATGCATTGTGACAGAGAAGACAGTTCTGGCCCATGGACCACTGCTCTGGCTGTGAACTCTAATGGCTCCAGTTGACATCCTCAGCTGGGGTACAAGTGGTCTGCAGATGTCTCTACTCTGCAAGGTGTTTCTAAGGTTGTGCGTTACCAGCTTCTGGGGCTGGATGGTCCCCTCTTCCTCGATCACTTTTGGTCTCAAAAATATAATTTTCCTCTTTTTTGTTCTTCCCTGAGGAACTACTGTCTGTGGAAAATAAATAGACATATGTTGACAGTATATTAGAAACTTCAAGAAATATTCAGGAAAATGCAGCTTTTTTAAAAGATGGGCTTAGAGAAAGTACTTGCAGGTTCTATGTCTTAAATAAACATAGCCCTGCATTTGCTACTAAAACTCCAGATCTAACTAATGCAACCAATGTAATAAAAGCAGAAGTAATCGAGAGTGGCTAGTACAAGCCGATGCGATGACGACATTTCAACAAGTGTAACCAACCAATAGTATAAAGCTGTAGAGAACAAGGAGAGACATAGAAGCATCTAGTGCCATAACGTGACTATGATTGCACACATGATCGCAGCAACCACGAAGAAACAACGAACGCGTCATAATAAGTGAAGAGACGCGACGTGGGAGCCAAGGAGGCAGCTGTGGAACCCAGTCATCCGCCTGGGAAGCTAGAACGCATGCAGGACAGACAGGGGTATGTGCAGTTGAGTCGATTTACTCGGATGAGTGTCATTATATCTGACGAATTAGCTGATTCTGATCCAAAGCGATGACTCACTGATACTATAGGTACATAGATGAGCGCTATATAAAAGAAGTAGCGAGCTTCCTTGAAGCTGCGAGTGCCTCAAGGAGTCACATACATGTACAGACGGCGTATAGCAGGATAATATATGATTATCGAGTTATTGTTGTGTACCCGTAAGTGTGACCATCTAGAAACGTAGCATGGTGGCAGTATCGCTCGGTGAGATCGTCGCGGACACCAGCACGGCACGAGTTGCACACGATTATCTAGTAAGTGGTGATCGGAAGGGCTGGGGTCACAGCGACTCGATACCGCGCGGAGCGAGACTCTGGGCGCAGGCGGAGGTTTTTCTAGCTGCTTGTTGATGAGATATTTGTTTAACTCTTCTATTCAGGTGCTATATAAGGTGGACGGAAACTATCCAGAAAGATCATGTCTTAGGATTTTTACCTCCAGGTCTGATGAACCCTGGCTGTGCTTTTCTGTTACTTCCCATTTAGCAACGGCACAGAATTTTTGTGTGGACTGCACTGGCGGGGCAGTACTGCTGAGTGGTGGAGTTACTCTCATGCTGTGATGTGATTTCAAGTGAGGTTTTTGAATACTATAATTAATTAGAAATGGTAATAAATTAGAAATGACCTTTCCACATGAGAAGGTCATTTTTTATTGAGAAGGTCCATTTTTATTGAGAAACAAAATTTTAGAGTTCCTTTTGCTTATCTGCCTATACATGCTTCTTTGCTTATATTCTGTTGTTCATAACAGAAATGTTCTGTTCATAACAGAACTCCTGCAATTGAAGTAAGACAGTATCAAGGTAGTATATAAAATTCTTTGGTAACATACTGCTCAATCTTTGTGAATTACTAAGTATCACAAAGTCAATTAGACAGTGAGCAACTGTAGTCAGTCAGGTCCCTAGAGGCAGAAAGGAATGAGTAAAATGGTTATTGCATGTTATCACTGTTAAACAGAAAGGTCTACAAGAACAATTCCTTCCCTATGGCTTTCTGAACACTCCTTCCACATAGCTGTCCATCCTGTCAGTCACACCATGCAGACCATTTCCTTTTTCATCTCTGAAATATCCCTGATGGTGGCCCCTCAGTCCTCAATGCCGGATCTTCAGCCCTCAGTTTTTTCATTTAGTCATGGGTAAAAGAAAGCTTTTTCATGGGTGAGCACTGGCTTTGGGTCCCCAGTGCTCCAAATTCTGTCTTTTTTTTTTTTTTTTTTTTTGATGGTACTGGGAGTTGAACTCAGGGCCTCAGGCTTGCAAGGCAGGTGCTCTATCACTTGAGCCAGGCTGCCAGCCCTCATTCTCCTTTCTGATCAGCTCTGTCTACGGTTTTCAAGTTCTCTTATCATCCTTTAGTCCCAATAAGTACCCTTCACTTTGGACAGCTAGGGTATCCTGGCTAGGTAATTTCATTCCCAACTCCATTTTCCTATGAAATTAATTAAAATATTTTTCCCTCTTACTCAATTCTTTCTCCCCATTCTCCAGAGTACAGCTGAATCTCTGAGCCCATCCTGTAGCCAGGGCTGACTTACGCACAGTAGGCCTGGAGCCTGGGGCCTCACAAAAATATGTATTCAATTTCTTCTAAAATCACAAGACAACAACCTGTAATGGTAATGGTGAATAAATATGAGTTCAACCTGGGTTATACTTTATTCCAATAGTCATAACACGTATTTCTTTAAGTTTGTTTTTAAGGAGGAAAGTGCAGAAGTGCTTGAGGGCAAAAGCATGGATGGCCTGTGAGGCCTCATGCAGCCCCACCTACAGTGAGCCCCACGTGCCAGGTGCTGCGGCCTCTTCCTCCTGAGCTTCTACCGGCCTCACAGGCAGGATCTAGGGAGCTGTGACTGCTTCTTGTGTTTGTAGCTACAAGAAGGCCCTTGAGCACACGAGGCTGGCTGCCCAGCCACCGTCACCCTTTAGACTGCGTTAGATTGCTCAGTTACATCCTGGCCTCGTCATTTACTAGCTGTGTGGCCTCGTCTAAGTCCTTGGCTTCTCTGTGCCTCAGTATCTCCATCTATGAAATGGGGGCAATGATTTCTAATGTCATAGGGTTATTATTACTATTATTATTTTGGCAGTACTGGGATGTGAACTCAGTCTTCGATTGCTAGGCAACCATCCCCCCACCTCACCCCACCCTAGCCCTTTCTGCTGTAATTATTTTTACATAGGGCTTTCTCATGTTTTTGCCTGGGGCTGGCCTTGGACTGAAATCATTCAACCTATACCTTCCGTGTATCTGGAATTACAGAAGTGAACCACCATGCCCAGTTTATTTGTTGAGATGGGGAGAGTCTCACTAACTTTTTTGCCTGGGCTGGCCTTGAATGGTGTTCCTCCTGATCTACACCTCCCAAGTAGCTAGGTAACAGACATGAGCCACTGTGCCCAGCCTGTCATTGGGCTATTATAAAGACCTAAGGAGCTCAGAGTAACAGGCATTTCATGCATGAAAATCATTACTATTTTTAATCAGAATATATTTCAACCAAACTTCCAGATTTGCAGAATATAGCCAGGACAGGTCACCAAGGATTCCTCCAGATATAAGGATTTTCTTATATTCTGCTTGATCCTGGAGCAAGGTAGTTCTGTGAGATTTTACTACGCTTCTAGTAGCCTAGGTAGCTACTCTGCGGGTATGAGCAGCTGTGGAACAGGAAGCACTACTCAATTTGGAGAAACAACAATGACCACAGAGCCTATATTTTACTACTTTTTCACTGTTGTAGACACACTAGAGTGGAATTTTTTGGCAGGAAATATTTGGAATCCTTCTTCAGGAATGTGGTAAGGAGTACAGCTGTGAATGTCATGGAGCTGGTGTTCGTACTGAAACCCGAGTACGTCAGTACCAGTTTGAAGGCTCAATGCAAGCCTTGTCATTTGCTTATACACTCTCAGCCTTGGTGAGTGTTCTTGAGCTTTCGATTGTCAAAGATACAGGAAATACTGCTGTGTTTCAGAGTTAATCACCTGAAATTTCCAAATGCTATTTGCTTATGGATCTCAAAAAGAACACAGTTTATGATGTGGAGATAAAAATTACTGATATGCCTATCTCTTGGTCTGCCCAGCAGCTGTGCACTCAAAATTTAGCAGCCCTTGGAATTCAAGCTACTGGATGCACCACTTCTGCATTCCTTTCCTCTTCCCCCCAGGTAGCTGCAAAGAGACCTCTGTGCGTTCTCCATCACTGCTCTCTCCAGTAATAAATTTGGAAGTGGGAAGATCACATGGTTAGGAAGTCCTGTCTTACTTTTGAAAAATAAGGACCTAGAACTACACAAAAAATGACAAAATTTACCAAGCCCCTGTCCTTTTTTTAGAGGATTAACTGGCTTGTCTTTTACCCAAAAGGAAAACAAAAAATTGTGTTCACCATGTTTCTTTCTAAGGAGCTTGTTCATCTTAACTCTGAAGAGAAACTCAGTGCCAGGGCCAGCATTGCACTGTCTATTGGTTATCTGAGTGAACTGTCTATGGACTTTCAGCTCTTTTGCCTTACCACTGAACGTGAGTGTTCCAGCAAAACTTCATAGGGTGCAAACATTTACTGAAAAAATTATTTACATATAATATCTCATGCAACCTTTGTAGCCACAGATAATATTATCCTCCTACAGATGAGGAGATGCAGTTCAGAGAAGTTAATTAGTAGTAGCCAGGAGCTAGTGGGGCTGGAATTAGAACCCAGAACTGACCCAAAGCAGCCTTTCCAGTGACCAACACTGCTTTCAAAGTCATAGCTAGCAAGCACAAGCTTCCTACTCCAAGAACTTACAGATGATATCATATTTATTAACTCATATCCTGGCATTATTACAAATTTCAATGTAAAAGCCTAGGACAAAGCTCTGTGAAGGCTGCAGAAGAGAAATGGACTGTTAACTGGAAAGGGGGTCTGAACTTAGGGGTCAAGTTCATTCTGAATCTTCAGCTTTCAAAATTAAAGAGTATTTTCTTCAGTGTCCCTATCCCTGGGGAGGAGGAGACAGGGATGCAGAGTTGGGAGGAATCAGATACTGGGGGAGAGAACATATGTGCTCAGAAGACACCAGGAGGCATGACTGCCATGGATTCTAGAACTTTCCAGGGTATTACCGTGCCTTCCTGGTATTCAAAATGTGAATTTTGGTTTTCTACCTTTCATGGAAAAATGCACTGTAATTTCCCAGACTGCCTGATTCCCTTTTCCTAGACTTCAGCACATGGAATGCCATAGAGGAGGTTTCACTCCCACACATCTAGTCACGGGCTTCATCCAGTGTGGCAGATCAGCACTAAACAGAACAATTACAGTGCACGTGGCTCAAGTGGTAGAGTGCCAAGACCCTGAGCTCAAACCCTGGTACTGCCAAAACAAACAAACAAGAAACAATTACAGCACTTGCACCGAAAATGTTTCTTTTTGTATTGATCCTTCTAGAAGAGTTCATGTCTTGGGAAGAC